ACACCTGCTTTCAAACAAACTGGCAAAAGCAAAGGGACGACCTTCACTTCTGTGCGTGACAACAATTCCAGTTTCAAATAGGTGAAAGTGTTGCTCACTGAAGGGTAAACATGCAGCTTTTTCCTCCTTTTTTTTCCCTCCAAAAAAGTCTTTTGCCACATTCTTCAAGAGAAACTCAAAACAAAAGTCACTACATACAGCTAACAAGTCTCTGTCCTTATTTCCAACAGTTTACAGAATACATTTTTAAAATATATCCAATAAGAAACATGTTTCAAGGTAGTTGACATAAATGTCTGAAATAAAAAAAAAAGAAATTACACTGATGCCATTATTCAGTTTTATATTTAATGTAATGGAAGCCTTTAACTGCAATTTGAAGCTGACAGAAAAGTTTCTATGGATGATTACATAAAGCCTTGGCTAAACATAAATGAAACTTTCAAATTGTTCAGAAGCCCTGCTATTTCTGTAGCCACAATTAAACCATCTGCTGTTTTCAATTACAACTCTGCTTTAACTTCAGCTTCCTTTTTTATCCCTAGATCTCTATAACAGAGCTAGAACTATATAAGCTCTGTCTTAGCTCTGATTAATGCAATGTTACTGAACAGACCCTCTGGAAGCTCCATCTTTCAAGACTTGCTAGAGGTCTAGGAAACAGCATCTCCTGTGAAGTTCAAAGCAGACAGACTTCTTGGCTTGACTTTTTGTAGTAGATCAAGTTCAGTATTTTAAGTTGTTACCTAATGCTACATCTTTACCATGTTTTTTATTTGACTACATAAAGGCCCCCATGAAATATATTCATGCCACTGCTCATTTCATTATATCTTTTAGTGACTTCTGACATTTCACAGAATTTCCAGTCTAATGAGTCAAAACTTCTGGGGACTATAGAGAACAAGCTAAAGAAGTGACAAAGCGTATGAATGAATGTGATGACTACTCCAGAAACTTTAAGTACAGATTCACAGAGGCATTTTGGCCTCTGACCTCATACTGAGGTCTCATATTGAGGTCAGACAAGAAAGATGCATAAATATTGTTGACATAAAATCATTAGGCCCTTCAAAATCTTGCTGAATCTTTATGGTATTCTATACAACAAATTCTCCCAGTGCTTTGGGAGCAGGGGGGAAAGAAGTCACAAGAAGTAGCTAGAGGCACTTTCAGGAAGAAAAAAAATCAGCAGAAATGCAGTGGGAACAGGGCCACAGGTGAAACGGGAAGCAATGCTCAGTGCAAGTTACCCTGCTGCATCAGTGGGAGGAGAGTGGTCCGCATGACTCTCACAGCAGCTTGCAAAACAGGAAATCATAGAAATAGCCAAGCTAGGGGGAAAGCGTTCATACACTCAAGCCTTACAGCAGGCATACACTCACACTAGTTTTGTACTGTTTCTGATGTTACTGTGAGTGCTCCAGTAAAGCACTGACTCACTCAACAGAAAATAACTGTGCTGGGGTTGCCAGGGAACAAACCTCCTACAGCAGCCAGGCTTTTAGATGCATAAACCCTAATAACGAGCTCCTCCATCAAAACACACTGCACCAGCACTTTTCTTCTCTCTCGCCAGTCTGCTTTCTCTCCACACCTTCACCTCAGTCTTTCTGCCTCAGTGCATCCGGCTCCCTTTTAGGCTGAGCTGCCTTACATGCTTCTGCCACTCCCTCCAGAACGCTGTCCCTCCTTATCAGGAAGGAGCTTCCAGGAACTACCATTAATCTATGAAAAAAAGAAAAACATATCCCACGAAAATACTCCCTTACTGCCCAGAAACAGGATGGGGACAGAGAGGGAACTTCATCTTTCTTCAAGATGTTTGTGTGGTTTTATGTCGCACACACGTAGCAAGAGTTGAAGAGTGTTGGTTTTAAGACACTTAAGTGTCTCGAAGGCACTCTAAGTACATGCCGTATAAGAAGTAGTAAAGTATAAGAGGTAGTAAAGTTCTGAAGTTTGCAAAATGGGACCTTCGAGGGGCGGAGGGGAATTAAAAAAAAAAAAAAAAAGCATTGCGTAATGTCCAGCCTACCATCTTAGGCTGCTTTCTAACTGTACACATCTAAATTACAAGCTCGAGATAAGACACGGGCACAGGCAAAGTACCGAACTGCAACGACAACAGCAAAACACCTCTTGTCCTCCGAAACCACCCCATTTCCCTAGGAAACGGGAGTCGTTTCCTACCAACCGCGGAGCTCCAGGACGCCCCGACCTCCCCTACGCCCAGCCCCGGGCCGCTGCCCGTCACCCCGGCTCCTGCCGCCCCAAGGTCCCCGTCCCTGCGGGGACACCGCACGGCCCCGCACACGGGCTGTCCGTCACCCCCGTCCCGTCCCGTCCCGCCGCGGGGGTCGCGCCTACCGCGGGTGCTCGGGAGCCGCTGCTGCCGCCGCCCGTCCCGGCTGCTCGGGGCGCTGCGGGCGGGGCCGGGGAGCGCCAGGAGGAGCAGGAGGAGGAGGAGGAGCCGCTGCGGCCCCGGCTCCTTCGCCCTCCCCGCCGCGGTGCGGGGCGGGCCGGGGGCGGGCGCGGCGGAACGGGCCGGGCGCGGCGGCAGCGCCGGGGAGGCGCCCGGGCCGGGAGCGGGCACCGGCCGGGGCTGGAAACACAGCACAGCAGGTCCGAGCGAGAGGCGGCTTCCAGCGAGGGGCCCGTTTGATAAAAAGAAAACACACGGCGGGGGTGGGGGAAGAAAGGAGCTCTGCCCGTCACATGGGCAGCCTGGGCATTCCCCGAGGGCACGGCGTAGCCCGAGGGAGCGGGTGACACGGCTAAAGCAAGGACGCTACGGTTCAACTCAAGGTTGTAACATCGGATTTAAGCCCACAAACTGCCTGTTCTCACCAGGAATTCGTAAGACCTTTCAGAAACATGCTTTCCAGGCAAGGTGGGACAGAAAACCCCATTTTTGTCATATATGACCTACGTATTCCTTGAGTAAAATTCTACCAAAAATTTGGAGGAAGGAGATCGTTCATGTTGACCTTTTCTAGCACAAACAGTACTAGCTAAAGGCTTCAATAAACATCTTTTTTTTCCTACATGCATTCTTTAAAGATGAGTGAAATTGCTCACATGGAAGCATTTAGGGGAACAAAACAAAATAATAAAAAGGAAAAACGAAAAGGGCATTTTCCAACTACATTTTGTTTGCCAAGACACTAATCAAAATAGCAAGCACAGCATTATCTGACTGAATCAGAGCATTATACAACTTGGGTGGGGAATGAACTTGTCCTTGCAGCTAGAATTTTTGCGAACAGAGTCCAGAACCTCCTTTACAGCACTTGCTTCCTTAATACATATGCATTCTAACAGGTGATTTCATTTAGAATGAAACTAATTTGGATAGATGTGTTCATGCTTCTTAAAGCATACCTCCCGTTCAACCACTTCATACAGTGAGTGTGACCCCATGTGGTACAGAATATCCCTTGGGTCAGTTGCACTCAGCTAAACCGTGTCCCCTCCCAGCTCCTTGTGCACCCCAAGCCTCCTCGGTGGTGGGGTGCGGTGAGAAGCAGAAGGGGCCTTGGCTCTATGTAGGAGCTGCTCAGCAATAACAAAAACATGTCTGTATTATCAGTGTGTTCAGCACAAATCCAAAACACAGCCCCATACTAACCACTGTGAAGAATGTAAACTCTACCTCAGCCAAAACCAGCACATTGGCTTTTTGTGGTTTAGCACAAATTATGAATTTATACCCAGACTATTTTAAGCCTTACTGATACAAATACATTTCTGATTAATAGGCAAAGCTAAACATCGACACAGGTTTTGATGCAGATGGAAAAATGAAGACGTGCCCACAAAGTAGCTCACATCGAATGAAGACCAGGGATCTTGTCCTCTCAGTATGCTGGTATTGCTTCTCTTGGGAGTTAACTGCTCTCACTTGTGTCAGCCAAAAGGGGCCACATGAGCTCTAACAGAAGAGTTCTGTTAACCAGAGTAATTTTGACTGAAACAGGTTAGGAGCCCTTCAGGGGAGCTGCTACTCCCATTGGATGAGGACACAGTGACCCTACACAAAGGGTTACTTCTTCTTCCAGCAGGATAAGAAAAAAAACCCAAACCCATATTTCTGCAACTTCAGTACCGCTATTTTTTTCATGTAGAAAAGCCCTTTGAGTATCATGCCTAGGCTGGAAGGGATGTATGAGGAAGCTTGTACTGCTGCAACCAGCCTGGTATTCATTCCAGACCAGGTTGTGCTCACTTTGAAGTCAATTGCAATGTTCCATGGATTTAACCAAGGTCTAGATTTGGCTTACTTCTATGAATCCCTCTATTTATCCAGCCTGAGTGACTGGAAGCCCCACACCTTTGACACTGCATTCCTAAACAGAAAACTGGACTAGCTACGGCAGCATATGGAATATTCTTCTGAAGAGGGAATCAGTGTATAGAAACCTCATTACCTGTCATTTTCAGACAGTCAGGGAATGAGGCATTTGCTTAATCTATTTTATTTTTGAAAATTTTTCCACAGAAATGATAATGTCCTAGCCCACAGTTTTTGGGAGCTTTGGCTGGAGCAAATCCCTCTCCCTGCAAAACTTGTTATGGGCAGCATAAAGCCCACTTCTGCTCATCTTCAGCAGCATTACATCTGATACTCCCACAGAGACATTCACAGAATAGTTGCTGCCAAAAAGGGACAAGCAACACCCTCTCCTTTCCACCCTTCACTCCACTGTCTTCTATATCTTTGTAACACATTTAATCTCAAAAGTACATTAGAACAATTTACTGGTGAAGTAAATATTAAGTCACAACTGGACTGACTACTTCTCCAGAGCAGGATGTAACTGCAGGTATTTTCCTTAAGAGTTTACAAGAGGAAAAGTGTAGAAACATGCAGTATAACATATGGTGTTGCGTGTATTTGTTATATGTATATTGTATACATACCTTTTAAGACTGGTTTTCAATCAGTTCAGTTTAGGAATCCTAAACCCAGCCTGGAAGTGGAACCACTCCAGCACAGAGTTCCTAAGGTAACTGTGGCAGCCATGCTGTGCAGCTAATACAGAGAGGAAAACAAGGATGTTTTCACCAGTTAAAGTTACAAGAAGCCTACCAGCAAGTTTTAATATACTTTTAATTTTTTCAGCCTTTTGGGATTTAATATTTAAACTGGTATTTAACACGACAGAACAGCCAAACCTCACGTGCCGTGCAATTGAACAGAGGCTTATTTTTACTCATATTAAAAACTGTCACTCTGTATTAGGATTTCAAATCAAATGCATGCAGACAGTGATGCCACAATCAGGATAAGACAGCAGAGATGAGGCCTAGAACCCTTGGTGTTGGGATAGGTGAGAGCTGGCATGTCATCTCAAGCACAAGCATAGTCATACTGACATTGTGCTGATATTGACTCAGTACCAATTCAAACAGAGAAGCCTTTGTGGGAGAACCCACAAAAATCACAGCAGCATTTCCTGCAAGCACTGCATTTTCCTAGTCCCCCTTCCAAACTTTAGTTCCAACCTTGTACATTTCCAAGTGGATTTGTGCCATAACAGGACACAAACCAGAACCAAGTGATGGAAAATAGTACAATAACCACCATCAACACTCCCGATTTCACAGGCACTGTCTTCCTTTTTTCCGTATTTATTTTGCAGAATTTCATTTCCATTGCTACAATATTCCGCTGGTAAAAACTCAAAAAAAAAATCCAAAACCACAACAAAAAACGATCTGAGTGTTTACGCACTAAAAGCAAGAAGAAAATACAAAAGAAAAAATAATATAAAATTTGCAAGTATTATAACGCCGTCTTTCAGGCAGCCTAGGAATGTTGAGTACCAGCCAGACTGTGGTGTATTTTGGGGAGTTCTAGCCTGGAATCTGAATGGTCCAAATTACCCCACAGGCTTCCTGCATGAACTTGATCAGGTCCGGATGCTCTGAAGATACATATCCATACAGCCTACATTCATTTTGAGCCCTAAGGAACTGATAGGCATCATTTGTCAACTCCCTCTTATGAGAAAGGGAGTCCTCTCACAGTCATTCTAGATTGTAGTTCACTTTACAGTCCTGTTAGGGGATGAAGATTTTGGAAAGACAGTCGCCCAAATACTTCTACTCTGCTTTAGTGACAAAAGTAATTTATTTCCCTTCCTTGGTTTTTTACTACTCCTGAGCATTCTGTAGGTTTTATATTTACTGTTTTTTGCACAGTTTCTAACTCCTGCAGCTTGCAACTCTTCAATGCACATTTTCCCTGCGTCCTAACTGTTAAATCAGATCCCTGCAAGACAATATCATGTGCTTGTATTTTTCTCCCCTGCTTGTTGCTCCACAGGTTCTTTGTACCTGCTGGTGTATTAGGCTTGCTGATATTTAGATAGCAGCATTACCCTTAGTTGGTGTTACACTCCTGAGAAAATTCTACTGCTTAAAATCCATTGCTTGGAGGCAAGCTTAGCTGCACTGACTTCTGCAGTCCAGCTTCGTTTCCCTGGTGCATTGGTGTTGCAATGGGAGACTGCAATGCTTAATGTCTCTGCATTGCCACTAGTCTGGAATAAAGGTGATAGAACTTGTGATGGACTGTGCAGACTACGTTATCAAAGGGCATCTACCTTAGGCCTGTGTAGGTCTTCAGCATACAAGATTTTTGCTGAAATAATTTTCTTGCATGTATCTTGTGTTTTCCCCAAAACAATCATGCTGTTAGCTTTGATCTCTGAGTCTGTCAATCTGAGCACCTTCCATTACTACTAAAGGCATTCACATTAAGATAAGAGCAAATTTTGCTTTCCAGGGTGTGCAAGTTATGGAGTGTTGAGCATGCATTTGTATGTAAAAATTACCCTTCACATGCAGCAGAATATAGCCTTGAAATAAACATTTTCATCAAGGAGCAGCAGATGGAAGTGCTTTAGTTTCCATTTTGTATTAAAGAAACTTGTCATTAAACTCTTAACAGTATTACAATTGGACAGCTCTGTGTTTTACTGCTTGGTGGGCATAACCCAGCTTACTTTGCTGGGCTGACACTTCGCCACACACACTCAGAGAAGTCACTAGTTCAGCCCTTTAGAAGTCAGATTTTCTACCATTTGTTTAGATTTTCTGCTTTGGGTTGTATCTTGTGTAAAACTGAATTTTGAACTCCAATTAACATTTAATTCTAAGTAGTAGAGTTAGCCAACAGGAAAAGGAACTCACAGAAACAGAGTGAGCTGGCCCTGGTGCACACACTCCACCTACACCTGCAGAGTTCAAGCTCCCAGTATGGGGAAATAGATAAATATTTGCTTGCATTTTTAAGTACTTCTGAACGCAATTCACTCGGGTGACTGGGAACCCCATCTGAATGGGTTCTAGATGAGCCATTTATCCTTATGTGTCAATTGTGGCAGTTTGTAATAACATTCTGAACTGTTTGCTTCATCATTGTAAATGACTTTCCAGCCCCACAAAGTTTCTGGGTGGAGCTTTATATGACGTAAACACACATACCTACCTTTTTTTTTTTTTATCCTCCATCTCCAGGAAGTAGAGAGCAAAGCAGCTTGGGCAGTCCAACACTCAGCAGAATCAAAGAGTTTCCAAACCGGGTCAATAGCTGAGCAGATGATTTCTCTTGGGCAGAAGAAGAGCAAGGTTCTCTGATAAATTCACAGAAGCTAAAGAGATTTATCCAACCATATATTGTATTTCAACAGCATGTTTCAAAATTCGCATTTTCAGTTGAAGGATATTTGGTTTGCAGCAGAATTTCTGCAAAAATGTAAGCGAAATTTAAATAAAGACAGTTTTTCTAGCACTTCCCATACTCTATTATAGTCTGGAAAAGGCAGCAGGGTTGTTCTGAGCTGGCAGCAGGTAACTCCAGTGATTACAACATCTACAGTTTAGATGTTGTATTAGATTAGATTAATTCTGTTTACTACTGGTCTTCCATTATTTTCAATGGCAAATTATTGCACTGCTTTTCCTATAACTTAAGCAGGGCCCATTTCTTTGGTATTTTCCATACTGCAAATGCAGATAAAAGTATTAAAGAACGACTTTCATTATGACTTGTATGTAAACTGAGAAAATGTGAGCTGTTACAAGTACATATATCTACAATATCAGAGATTTCACAATCCTTGTGTTTACAGACACCTTCTCTCCCTATTTCTAGAGGTTTAGAAGAAAAAGACTATCCCAAAAACACGAACAAATTATTAACAATAGTACCAATGTTTTGTGTAGTCACACAAGTGACATTTTGTCCTCTTACCTGACCCCGATTTCCATGTCTCAGGTTGAGAGAAGTCATCACTGTAGGGTTAACCAAAAGGTGTTATTAAATGATGATTTAATGATGACTAAACAATAATGAAAAGGTAGTCAAACACTCTGCTAGTTACTACACTTCTAATAATTAAGCTAGCTTTGTATACAGTATGCTTTAGATCTAACACGTCACTTACCTTGTTGTAGATATCAGATGCCAGGTAAGGGATCGCTTGACCTCAAGGAGCAACCTTGAAAAGCATTCCTGCTCATGGGGAGATCACCACTGTGCAGCCCATGCAGGAGAGCTCAACAGGCTCTGGGGGCTGCAGATATTTGTGGTGCAAAGTGACTGGTCCGTAGTCAAACTCCTCTCTGATGTATGTGCGGGTGTGCAGCTGTAGCAGTTTTAGTTTTGTTCGGTCCCAGTTCAGGCTGGTCCTGCTGACTCCTAATCAGACCTGACCTAAATTCTTTAGGTTCCCAAGAAGATACAGCTTAGCATAATTTCTAAAGGTTTGCACAGCAGGGCTGGCTTCAGCCAAGCCTCTTTGTTGGTGATGCCAACAAATGATGTACCATAAACTCAGAGCAGTGCCCATCACACCATACAGTTTGGGAAACAATTTTGGAAAACAAGTACCTCAATTCTTATATCCCATTGCTTCCGAGGTAATTGTTCAATACTCCTGTCTTAAAGCTATGTTTCTATTATTGCCTCCTCCTTATTTTCTTATCACTTTGCATTTCTGATAAAAGAAGGTGGGATTTGGAGTCGCTTACAAAGCTCCATTTAGCCTTCATTCTGGTTTTGACGCCTTTTAGGTCCTCCTTTCAGGTGTCATGCATCCACAACTGTTCACCTTTCCTGTGCTATTTACTAGAACTGAACCCTCTCCCCTATCTTCTGTTCTTTTCTCACCTTGAAGTGTCAGAATACACCATATTGAACTATCCTTCTTTTCCCTCATCTACTATATACCCCTCTTTCATGTTTCTGTGGTGATTCTTTAGGGAAAGGAGTGCCTGTAGCCTATTCATATATTAACTATGTCAAAACAATCATGGAGCTGAAAATATGACTACTCAGTGAACATCAAGATCTGGGTGACTTTAGCCTGTCCATTCTTCAGATATCCTTCCCTAAAACTGGAGATAAATATCATAAATCTATCCTTTTTATCCTGAGGATAAAAACCAAGACGACCACATAAAGATAAACATTCTACATGTGCAACACTTGTATGTAATTATTAGTCAAAATTGAAAGGCTTAATAAAAATTCTCAAGACTACCAAAACACAGTACAAACTGTAGTTAAAAGTGTAACTTGTCAGAGCTTCTGATCATTGAATCTGATGCCTGTGGGGGTCATCTGTGCACAGCAAGCTCTGAGGGGCTCCTTCACCTCATTAATGATAGGGGTCAGCACCTCCTCAAACTCTGCCTCCAGCTGCACAGCGTCCTGCTGTGGTGAAACAGTTCTTTGGGGCATAACTCTTGGAACATAATAAGCTAGGTCTCATATATAGAAGGAGCATAATCTTCCCATGACTCAGCCCTGACTCACCAGGAGCCTTTCCCACATTTAGGGAAAACCCTGTCATTCAAGCCATCTTTAGCACAGATGACCTTTTAACCAAGATTGCTTAAAATATTCTGCAACCATTAAGAAAAGCAAGCATCTGAGATGTCCAGATCCTGAAAGAGCTGGATGACACAGTATTTAACTGAAACTGAATAAAATCCGTTTTATGTTCTTGGTATTGACAGCAATGAGGCAGCATTTGTGTAAAAGGAAGAAGATAAATTCGGGGTTTTTCCAACAAACACTGCCTCCTCAGCTGTTACCTTGAATCAGCACATACTTCTTCACTCGCCTTCAAACTGCAGGGAGCGAGAGTCTCCTGGTGGCGTTGGAGTGCACAGCTGTGCAGCCTTGGGTGGCCCTGCTGCACCACACAGGTCCTTCCTGCAGCTGCAACCAGCACCCCAACTGTGGCCTTTCACTGAGGCTCTGTGTGTGGAGCCAGGGAAACGTGAAAAACACAGGCTCGGGTGCAATAGTAATTCACCCTTGCCGAGGAATTCTCTTCTCTTTCCTTCTCTCTCCAACTCAGCCAGTCCCAGGTGATTACAACTGACCTCAAACACTTTGTTGTTTGTTTGTTTTGCACCCCTCACCCTTACTTTAAGCCCTGCAAACCTCCTTTGATTGAAGTTTTAAGGGAGGGAGCCTCATTGTATCCTGAACTAGAGACTTACATTTTCATATTTAGAAGCAATATGAAAAAAAGAAATAGATGTTTTCTACAAAGCAGCTGCCACGAGCAGAGCCTGTTATCCAAGGTGGCTCAAAGCACAAAGGAATGATGGCTCGGTGCTAACATTTAAGATTCAGAACTTTGGTCTATTTTAATACATTTCATGATGAGTCAGAGCCCTCTCCTAGAAATAAGGAAAGGCATTTTTTCTTTTCTTTACATAGTTGTGCTATTTCACCTCAGAAATACTTAACATTGACAGATATGAGCCACCGACATTCCTGCTTCCTTCGATTTTGATTTGCTTCTACAGCAGGGAATGAAAAAATGTGTCAAGAGAAAATTCTGAATATGATACTCAGATGTAAATAGACCAGAATTATGCAGTGTCAAAGTTTGCAGTTCAGTTTTGGCTGGTTGCTTTTGTTTGTTTGATCACAACAGCATTAATGGAATTGCTGAGATTTCACAAAATTCAAGTATCCTAGGAAGATACATGCACACAATGACTCTAATTTTATCTCACAGTTACACATAGATTTCCCAACAGAGGGAGCCCTTTTACTGTCTACCAAAATTTCATCGAAGTGAATATTCACAGAGGTTTCAAATAATGACAGTGTCCCTGCTGTGCAGCTATCATCCCACGAATTGCAAAAATGAAAAAGGTTTGCAAAATAAAGTCACCTCAGGGTATTTAGCAGATCAAAATGTGGGGTAATATCAGATATCTAATGACTAGAAATGCACTGGAGGATTCAAGTGGCCGTTTGTGTTATTACAGCAATTATATCTAGGGGTACAGCAATGAAACATCTATGAGAGTAATTACTTTAAAATACATTAAGAAGAATTATGCCAGAAAAACATATAGTTCCCCTATGTCTGCAAATCATTGTTTAACTATAACACTCCTTTGAGTTCTTTCCTGTTGTTGAAGCCATCGATTGCCAAACAGAAACTATTCAGGCTGTAGTTTGGAGGGAAAAAAATAATTAAAAAAAAAATCTTTCTTCTACATTGTCATTTCATTAAAGTATCATGTAATTTTTATCACAATTGAACTAACTTGTATACAGTAAGACCTTCAGAACTTCACTTGCTCTTTCATCACAGCATAAACCAAACTTTCTTGTGAAATATGAAAATGTTAATTTAGTATTTTGGAGCCACTGTTTGGATTGTTACTGTTTCTGCTTCTTACCCTCTACATATAGTGGCCAGTTCCCTTTTGACTTCATGAGAACATTTCAACAGCTGATTTGGTGATGACATGAATCCTGTTCCAGATTAGTTTGGACTCAGCATCTTAGTGTACTTAAGGAAGAAAAAAAAGGCAGAAATAGCATTTATTCTGACTACACCAAAGTAAACACTTTACAACTACAATATATTGCCTAGGCTAGCAGAGTTTTGTGAAATATGAAGAAACCAAACCAAGAACTGAGGAGCGATCCCGTTTACTTGCCTAGAGGTATGATGATTACGAGCAGTGTCATAAGGACAAAAACATGAGGTTACATTCACATCTGTGGGACAGTAGCTCCTCCCTTCGCACAGAAATGTACATTTTTATGGTAGTTAAGACTGAAATGCTCATGAAACAACTCCGAAACCTCTGGGTTTTTTTCAGCTTGATGTATCCCAGTGAGCCTTTAAAAAAAATAAAAATACAAAACTAGTATTACCTGTATCATCCCATACCCTCCCCTCATTTCACTAGGACCTGGGTTTACACTGAAATTCCAGTGGCAGCCCTCTTCCCAACCAATTATTTTCTGAAATTAGTTCAGGATAGGTAAACTAGTGCCAAGGAAACTGCAACAAAATTGATTGTAATTGTTAATTGGAGCCAAATTGAGATTTTTTTTTCTTCTTCACTTTCAAATAAGTAAAACTCTTTGTTTTCTACTTTCTCTTAACACTGCAAACAGATCAGCTTTGCAAGTTTTGGACGTCTGGCCATTTTAGATAAACATTCCAACCTTTCAAGTGTTTACAGACTAAACTGCAGAGCTAAATGTTTATGTTGCAGTGAATAACTTCAGCATTGTATTTAACAGAAAGGCTGCTGAAGTAATATTTTTCAATCAGTAGGTGAAGACACACGCTACTGAAATAACCAAAATTTTAAAGGAAGATATTAATACTAGTCTGTCCATAAATATTTAGCACATTTCTATGTAGTAGGCTTTATAGTTGGAATATATAAAACTTCCACAGTGTACAAGGTTTCTAAGTTTAAATCTATTCCTAGGCCCTTTGAAAAGAATTATTATAGCTTTTAGCTTCTATGGAAAGTAGAATGTAGATTTTGGGGTATCAAATTGTATATTCCTCCCCTAATTGTAGTTTAATATGAAATAAATCCTTGGCCTTGTATTTCAAAGAACATGACCTGAGATATTGCTAGGAAAAGGGTTTGGATCCTATTGTTGTACTTGTGCAGGACAAGAGTCCACCCTGACAGGTGCAAAACTACATAGAGCAGAGAGCTGGTCTGGTCCAGAAGAGATAATTTCTGGAGCAAAATATCTGTTTTCAGTCAAATCTTTACTCAGTTTTAAATAATGATATAGCTTTCACCTGCTGAGATTAATTTGAATCATGTCTCTCCTTGGTATTTACATTTTTCTTATTCTTTGGGGGCAGCAACAATGTCTAACAGTGTGTAAACCTCAAAGTATGCCATTCACTCCACAATACCACTTTGCTTGCAAAATGAAAACAAGCTGGGGTACAATATTGCTTCTAAGAAGAAAACCAACATGAAGAGAGC